TTTTTTTTTTTTTAAGGCTAATTCTTTAAGCCCAGCCAATTCAATTACCTGTCAAATCTGGACAGGACGGCCTTTCAGGCCTTTTTTTATTGTCATGAATTTCCCAAATTTATTTATTTATTTTTTTTGCATGTCATCCTTGCGCAGGGGCCATGCTAATCTTCATTCTCTGTATCGTTCCAATTTTAACGGATGCCCCGAAGGACATTTCCCAACTTCTTGGAGCACAGTACTTGTATTTGGAAACTCGGTGCATATCGGATTAAAAAAGACTGAACCAAAAAAACAAAACAATCCTGACCAGTTGTTTCCTTATGGACTATTGGTTGCAGAATCACAAGTTTCTTCTGAATGCAACGACGCGGTGGCCCTTTTCCAGAGGCAAAGGGGTTACGACCTCACACTCGACAAGCGACTGTGTGCGTAGCTGCATACTTATACCCCCCCCCCCCCGGCTGCCTTCATGCTTGATTTTATTTTTTATTTTTTATATTATTATTATTATTATTATTATTATTATTATATATGTATTTTTAATCCCGTTCTTTGCTTGAATTTCAGAATTTGTTGTTGCTTCATTACGAGTAATCTGTACGTGCGTGGATCCTTTAACTGAATGTGAGGAGTCTCTGCTGACTCTGCAAAGTCTGTGCAGACTATTTCAATGCATGTGTTTCTGGACAGGTTATCCACCTTTCTGTACCTGAACAGAATAAGACTCTTCTGGTCTGCATATGTGGACAGGTTTTGTACCCTTTTCCTTTATCCATCTGTGGAAAGGCAAAAAAAAAAAAAAGGCAAAAAATGTCCAATCTGAGCAATCTCCTGATTCTCTGACTAGGCTGTTTTTCCAGACGCTCGGGCACCCAACTTGTGCCCGGATACCTGCCCAAGTGCGCGGCTGGGCATGACCTTCGGGAAGGGTTCAGGCCACAGCACCGGCAACCCCCCCCCCAAAAAAAAAGGAAAAAAAAAGGGTGGATTAGATTGGGTCCTGTTGGAACTGTGAACATATTTGCAGGCATCTGATAGTTCTCTGATAGTTCAGGTACAAAAATCGTGCAGTGTCTTGAAATCCTCCATCCTTTCGGTAAACGCGGACTCTTTTACTCACTTTTTTTTTTTTACTTTTTTTTTTTTCTGGCCCTCTATAGGCTGTTCTAGGTGATAGTACCCTGGTACTATTGGACCCAAAATCGAGTTGCAGGCCGTTGGATTGGGTTTTTGGCTGGTTGCGATTTGAAGTAGATTATTAGTGTTTTATTACTGTTTATATTACTTTATAATTTATTAGCTTATTTGAAAGTGTTGTAACGAATTGATTTGCACGTACTTGGATTGCATTCATTGGGCGGGTGAGCAGGGGATGTCTGCGGAGATGAGGCTAACATGATGGTGCTGCCCCAGTTTGCGATATTCGACCTTCTGAAGACCCCAGTTGGGTAAGTGGACCTATCTGATTATTGAATCATTATTCCCTGTTAAGAACAATAACTTCACCGATGACTAGTCGACGAGGCGTAAAAGTCCAACCAACCACCTTTGCTACTGATTTACTTTTTTTTTTTTTTATTATTATGAAAATAAAAAGGCTACCAGAGTGGCCCGGGGCGAGTTGCCTGGCCGGGCAAAGAAAAGTTAAAAAAAAAATAAAAATTGTTAAATTATTTCGATGAGATCCTGAGGCAAAAGTTGTTCAGTTTATTTTTCTGCACAACATAGTTTTTTTTTTTTTTTTTTTTTTTTTTTTTTTTTTTGCCCAGGATCTTTCTTGGTCCTTGCACGGCCGGCCCGTGCGGGAAAACAAGGTGACCCGGGGGGCCCGGCTGGTAGCCTAGAAATTAATACTGATTTGCTAAATCATTTTGTCACCCTGTTGTCTGCCATTCACATTTGCTTCACCGGTTCTTTTTTTTTTTTTTTTTTTTTTTGTCTAAGGTTACCTTCTGTATGCGCTTCTCTTCACGGTATTGTCTAAGTTTACTCACACCAGGACCTTTTTTTACTTATGGACGTCATTGCGGTTATATACATCTAGGTGCGGCCGTAAATGCAGTCAGATACATTTAAGATAGAGCTACTGTACAATACTGTGTACCTTTCTCGGCCTTTTGGCTAAAAATAGATCAAATGTAGTATCTGTTCTGATCATCAGTTTAACATTTGATCTGTGGTCCATCGGGCCACAACGATATTAAATTAATGAAACAACGGCGGACGCGGCATGTTTTGAGTTCGCAAAGGCAGAAAAAACAGGCAGGCGGCAACTTTGTCATGGCCTGAGTTCGAAAAGGCGGTTGTAACTCATGCGGGCAGTGGTGTCAGGGTGGCGGTTTTGTTAAGGCGGTTGTGTGTTGTTGTTTTTTCCTTTTCTTTTTTCGGCACCCGTTTTTGTTTTCTTTTTTCGGCGCTTTTTTTTTTTTTTTTTTTTTTCCGCGTGGCCATAGGCCATGCTCGCGGCTGGGCCACGGCTGTGATGGGCCACAGTCGCGAAAAAAATAAAAAAAGAGGCCGGGAAAAAAAAAAAAAAACACAACCGCCTTAACGAAACCGCCACCCTGACACCACTGCCGGCCTGAGTTACAACCACCTTTTCAAACTCAGGCCATGATTTCAAACTCAGGCCATGACAAAGTTGCAGACTGCCTGTTTTTTCTGCCCATTACAGACTCCCATGTGACATAAACGTACTTCCCTCTAAATTAATTTTTCAGGGCGACGGAGGGGCCATAAGGGTAGGCTCGCCTGCTTGGTCCCTTCAGCGGTGCCTTCATATTTGCACTGCAGTGAGGCGTAGCGCAGCCCATTAAAAAAAAAAAAAAAAAAAGAGCTAGTGCGATGATTACACCCTATGTTTACCATATGTATCCCCTTTTCCCTTCCCTTTGCAGTATTGTCGAGTTTCTGCTGAAAATTTGTGAAGAACGAATTTGCAAGGTGGATCCTCGCCCCCCCCCCCTTCCTAAAAATAATAAAAAAAAAGAAACAGAAGTTTAGGGTTGTACTGTAAGTTGGATCTTATGATCCGATGGATCTGAGTTGTGTTTTAATCACAAGCATACAAGTAGATAGTATTTTGTGTAGAACGCAAACATGTGCAAATCGCATGACAAGACCAATTGAAATATGAAGAATTACATAAAGTCATGCCCAGGATTGGCGTCCCCGACATCGCGTTTTGCCAACCACCACGCTGCCATCCTTAGGGGGGTAATCACCTACTTCTCCCTCACTCTTCTTCCACCTATCCTTGCGAACCCACTTCCGTACTGCTCCTCGCTAACAAGCCGGAGTGCTAGCGAGTGACAGTATTTTTAGTCCTGAATTGAGGTTGACGGTGTCGTACATACTCGATTTAAGTCTGTCACACCCAGTTTCCTCAGCAGGGAAATGCTTCCGTACTACCAGTCCCATGGGTACCAACCAACTGGTCCCGGTCTCTGGTACCGGATTTTTTTAATTTTTTTTTTTGGTAAAAACAGGTCCTTATGGTCCTGGCTCCATGTCCATTCTGGGGAGCGTCAGTCCGGGTCCTATTCCCCCGGCAAGTCAAAACTGACAACATCGTAGTACACACTCACGCTTCCTTCCGTCCGGCTGAAGGTTCCCTGATAAGCATTGATTACTCCTGTATAGGAGGATTGACTGTCAGCTTGCCCTACCTTTGCTTTCCTCACAGACACCCTGCTGGTTCTGTCTAGTTGCTCATACAGCACAAGAAAGCCGGGAGAGATGTCTATTCTCCTGAGGCTAGAACCTCAGTTTGTCCCACTTGGGGCTACGTCTCTTGTCGTTGTTGGAGTGGTCCATTTCTTCCAGTGTAGTTTGTTGTCCGAGACTGTTGCGATCTTTCCCTGTAGCGTCCAGTCTCTCGTGAAGATTATTCTCCTGTTTATGAGTCTATCTGGTTTGCCTCTCGTTGCTGTTGACATACTCCTCCACCTGCATCGGATCTCCGTTTCCACCATCCTCAACAGGAGGATCCACATTTCCTCCCTGGCTACCACTGAGCCCTTGATTGTCTTTGTGCATCTCCTTTTCCATATGACCCACAAAGCTAGTTTCCTGAGCACATGAAACCAGACTGCTTTTCCGCCTCTGAGACTGTCGGGGATGTTAGAGCGAAGTAAGATGTTCTGGGTGGTGAGGTTGGGGGGAGGGGATGAGAAGAGGTGGTGCCATAACTTTCGGACTTTGTTCCATATCCAGGCTGCCTGGCTGCAGTATAGGAGGCAGTGGGGGATGTCTTCAGCGACGCTGTCATCGCACATAACGCATAGTTCCTAGCTGTTGGGGTCGGAGTGTTTTCATCTTTTGTGGAGCCATTGGTTGACAGGGAGTGCTGCGTGGGCTAGAAGCCATTGTAAGCTACGGATTCTGGCAGGTCGTATGGGGAGGTATTTTGTCCAGGGGATGGACATTGAGGCTGTTGGCTCTAGGTTCATTGTCTCTCTCCATCTGTTTTCGAGTTTGGGGCTGGGATCCGTGGTCTGTAGACCTAGATTGTACCCAAATTTCACGTCGTATTCCACTATAGTCCTGGTTTTTCCGGATTTGCTTTGTTTCCAGACCCACTCCTTTGGGTCGAATTCGAGCTCTGCGATGCTCTGAGGTCAGGGTGGAAGATTACCCATGGTTTAGTTTTCAACACCCTCACTTTTCTCAGTAGGAAGGACTCTATCGTCTCTAGCTGAGGTTCTCTGTTAAGGATGGCTAGTTCCTGAAGGTTTAGGCTGGCGATAGGGTAGGAGTAGAATTTGGAGCGGTAGCCGGTGGTTGAGGTGCGGGATGCAAACCGGTATGCTCTGTTTGGTGAAGTTTGGGAGACGAGTATACCCCAGTCCCCTGGTTTCCAGGAGACTTCCTCTTTCAAGAGGCGAATCCAATGGGGTGGGATGCTCTTCTGGATTGCGAGTAGGTTTTTTGTGAGAGCGTGGTGGCCTTTTAGAGTGTTTCGGAGTTCTTGTTCCTTCGGTCATTCTCCCCGCTCTTCTGCCCACAGGTGCTTAACCTGCCACACCCCTTTTTCGACCCACGACAGCCATCTTCGGTCCTTCATTCTTAGTGACCAGGGGCAACCCCTGGGGTCCTTGATCCAATCATTGCAAAACAGCCGTTGTCTCAGGACCTCCTGTGTGGTTTCTGCTGTGCCATGTTTGCTTGGCCTCATACGTCGCCAGGCCTTCAGAGTCGGGATCCAGTACGGATTGGGTGTCGGGGTTGCTTGGTTGTCTGAGTTTCGTGTGGTGCTCTGGTACCGGATTTCAATTGATCGCCGGATCAAATCCACCGCGAGGCACAACAATCAAACACACAGGCGAAAAAAACGAAAAAGGAAACGGATATGAAAAACCCTCAGTCCAATGTGAACCCCGCTAACGCTCACCGGTTCAAATCCGAGAAACTGTCCGGTTGTGAGTAGAGTCCGAAACTTATCGAAGATCGCCTGTTCGAGGCTCCAGTCGGTAGTACCAGTCCCACGGGTACCGACCAAGTGGTCCCGGTCTCTGGTACCGAATTCAATTCCACCGTGGGGCACAACAAACAAACACAGGCGAAAAAACGAAAAGGAAACGGATATGGAAAACCCCACTGTCCAATGTGAACCCCGCTAACGCTCACCGGTTCAAATCCGAGAAACTGTCCGGTTGTGAGCAGAGTCCTAAACTTATCGAAGATCGCCTGTTCGAGGCTCCAGTCGGTGGGCGACGGAAAAGACTACAAAAGACAGAAACAATGTGCCTGAGAAACCCTGTCCGATAAACGCGCACTCCTCATCTAGTGAGCAGGGAAATCCTTCCGTACTCCGTACACCAAAGCCAAAGGCTCCGGTGACATACTTGCGGCGCAGCTTCTGTGTTTTCTCGTGGACACAGTCACACAGTTGTGGCTGCTACGGGGTTCCCCGTACGACTATAATTAGGAGCAGTGTAGGTAGGTAGGTAGTGTGAGGTGAAATCGAGAGAAGAATGTAGTTTACTTGAAAAAAAAAAAAAAAAAA